ATTAGAAATTTGCAGAATAACCATAAAAAGGTGGCACAAAAAATGTCAGAGAGGAAGAGTACTAGGAAACATTTCTTCTTAAAACAATCCCTGAGTCTTGCTCATGTTACGACCTGTATGATGTTCAAATGACTGTTACCCAAATCAGATGATTGTGTGGTTAATTCCTAACTGTGACTATACAATTCAAAAATAGTTGGGTAAATTTCTCCTGGGTCTCCCATATTAATGAAATGCATTATTTTGTTTTCAGGCCTTTATTATTCTTGTGTTACATTTCTTAATTAACCCAAATTATCTGTTCTGAATAGTTGGAGTTAGCAGGTGTTTTTCTATGATGGAGCTAATCATTCTGGGATTGTGTTCCCTATAGATTTAAGGGCCTGATACTTGACTGCTTTGTAATCTTGTGTACAAGGTAAGTTGAAAAATCAGAATGGTAGTGTCTTACCCTCAGTTTATGCTTTGAACTTCAAGGGGACTAACATGCTTAAAGTTAAGCAGATGCTTTGCTGAACAGGGATGGAATAAAACACATGCCCAAGTACCTGCCATAGTACCTAAGTGACTTGCCCAAGGTAACATAGGAAGTCTTTGGCAAAGCTAGGAAATGACCCAAGATCTCCTGAGTCCCAAGCCAATACCTTTAATCACAAGTCAATCCTTCCTCTCAGTACTTAAGATCCCCTTGAATTAAATTAATGCTCAAACATTTAAAATCTCTCACTCACACAGTAACTCTTTCTGTTAACAATTACAGAGGTGGGCCAGGCTAACCTTGTACAATTTTCAAACCTATCACCAAATATACATGCACTAATGAACCAGAAATCTAACTTTTTTGTGGGTGGCAATTTGTAAGTCCCTTTTCTTATGACAGACAGCTGCTGCAACTCAAATAAACACTTTCAAAATAATGTTTGGATGAATTGTTCAAAATAGATGTTGGAGTCTGACAAGCAAGAATCAGATTAATTCCATTCAAAGATATTTGAATGCCAATCCCTGCTAGAAAGAGTGGAAGGGGACGATATAAAATATCAAAATTACATAGGCCTTTTGTTTAAATGTTTTCATAAAAGTCTAACGGAGCTTGAAAGATAATCCTGAATTCAGATGAAAAGCACACAGAATAATAAATACCAAGGAATAATTTAAAAAGCCACAGCTCGCTAAGTGGGCTACAGTAGTCTGACTTCATAAGCCACAAGTGAGAAATATTAGCTGAATCCTTAATGGCTTTTATCTCATCTTAGGGGTACTGTACATCTGATATGTATTTTTTTAGAATGCTGTTGATATTCAAAAGCTTTATTGTGGAGAACACATAACTGTGGCGACTAACAGGAGACTCTCTGTTGATGTGGTTGGGATGACCTCACAACTAAAGTCACCCGAAACCCACAGGAAAATGTTACGAATTCCATAGAATTATGTCTCCCTAATTCTGTGCAGTATTTTAAGGCTACTTGACTTACATTTAAAATATATCTCTGATCCACTCAGCTTTCACACCATGTGACTGAACACAGATTCATAGACTTTAAGGCCAGCAAGGACCATCACAATCATCTAGTTTGACCCTGCTGTACTTTGCGGGCCACAAAATTTCACCCACCCACTCCTGTAATAAACATGACCATCATCCTCCGCTCCGTCTCTTACAGGGAACCTCAAGTAGCTTGTATCACCATTTCCTCCTTCACTAATGGCTAACAGAAATGGCACTGTACTTCCAGAAAATCCAAAGTCAAGGTTAGCTTCATGGGGGAAGAACAGCTGGGCAGCTGAGCTTGTCAAGTCCAGCTATAGCTACCATGCTTCAAAAAGATGAGCAGAAGTTCCAGGAAAGTGGTATGAAAGAATAAAAGATTTGATGAGTTGTGTCAATGCCCTTATTCAACACTCTGCAATGTCAGAGTAAAGTGGGCTAGAGAAGGACATAGCCAGCAAGTGAAAATATTCATTACCACACTCCCCATTCTAATACAATTTAAATGTTTATTTTAAGAGTGTAGCTTTACATAATCTGAGTTTTAAGAAATTGTATCTGCAGTAGGGACCATTAGAAACAAAACATTTGCCATTCCATGGGGATTACAGCACTACAATATCACCTCTTTTAAGTATCTGATAGGAAAGAGACTACGTTATTGGAGAGCACAGGTTCTGGGTGTGGCAAGTGTTACCCTTGGTAGCTGGTGTGGTATAGTGGGTCATACTCTGAACTGGGGTTTAGGAGACCTGGGTTCTGTTCTTGGTTTGGCAACTGATACAACTTTGGACAAGTCACCATGCCTCAGTTTACCTGTGTGTAAAATGGGGGTAACGATATGGACTTCCTTTGTAAAGTGCTTTGAGAGCTATAGAAAAAAGTGCTATATAAGAACTAGGATTGTGCTTTAGCCAAGTCATGTAAATTTCTCTGTCATTTCCCCCATCTACAATACTTCAGAGAAAATAATACTTCAGAGAAAAGCAGTGAGGAATAATTAGTTAATGTTTGCAAAGTGCTATATGCAGGCTCTTGTTACTTTGTCTTGTCTGGTTTTGTAGTGCAGAAAAATCTCCATGATTATAAAGTTTAATAATCCATCATTCCTCTGCAGTATAAAGCAGTGCACGCCCAGAGAGTACATGTACAACAACAGCAAAAACAACAATGGAGCTGGACCCCTCATGTTCATTTTTACAGGGATATTCTGAAAACCTTCTCCAGGGTTTGAGCCATGGGACTTCCATTAAAATCCCTTACCATACTGTGAGAATTTACTAAGAATTAGATGGAAGCTCAGGATTAGCACAGCAGAAGGGAAGCCTTTCAGAAAGGGGTGAATGAAAGAAAAGCCCCTTCCAAAGGACATTTACTCTATTGTGACTCAAAATTAAAAAAAAGTGTACAGTCCTAAATTACCAGCCATCTTCTTTTTCATATGGGTATCAAGATCTAAGTTTCAGGGGTCAGAACCAGAATTCCTCAGATAAGTCACTCCTCCTGAGAGTTCATGCTCACCGTTGATGTCGTCAGTGGCAATACTTCTGTAAATAACTGCACACCAGGGATCACAGTGAGCCTAAATAAAGAGTTAGTCACAGCCATTAGATTAGAAATGTTCTCCCATTGCATTTAAACTCCTGGAGTTTATTGGAATAGTTACTGCTTTCTGCAGCCTATTTTCCCCCCATTTCAAGCCAGACAGTGTTGTATAGAATTTATCCAAGCTACTGCACTGTGGAATTTACACCTTGGTATGAGAGCAGCTGGGGGTTAACAGAGCTGCTTGCCTTGAGTAGCTGAGTTGCATCCAGTGAAGTGAGCTGTAGCTCACGAAAGCTTATGCTCAAATAAATTTGTTAGTCTCTAAGGTGCCACAAGTACTCCTTTTCCTTTTGAGTCACTAGTAAATCTCAGTTTTTGTCCCTCAGTCCCAGACAAACAGGAGTGGGAGGAATTCCTGTCCGGTCACTTCTCAGGCCCTCTGCTCCAAGGGACCCAAAAGGTCCAGCAAGGACCAGGAGAAATCAATATAATATTCTGTAGTGTACAGTGTTGATTTAACTCAACACCATTTACAAAGTCGCTGAGGGTTTGCCCAGTGTCGATAATCTGGTGTGTAAGTTTTTGGCTTGAAAGGGCTCCCCAGTTGAGAGCTAAAAGGCTTGCACATGCTGCTGCAGTGTGTGATACTAAAACTAAACAACTAGGGTTGGAGTAGATTTATATAGATCTCTGTCATTGCAGGAATCATTGTCAACAAGTCATGCAGCAAAATACTTTTCTACTTATTTAGAATCTTGGTTATTCAGTTACCGTTGAAAATGTGTACAGTACTTCAGATGCAATATTCTCAGATGTTTCTATCACCTGCAGTATAATGTGACATTTCACAGTTTCAGCATTACACAGCAATGTGGGGCATTTGTTCAGAGAGCTACACTGTCTTCAAAACAAAAGAGAAAAGAGATAAATAGCCAACTACAATCTTGTACCTTAACCACTGAAAAGCCCATCTTAAAACTGAATGGAACAACAGAGAGCTTTTATTTCTTGTTTTTTAAAGAATAAAACTCAGTGATTTCCTTTGAAAGCTATTCAACAAGTTCCCCATAATCCTATTACATTTCATATGAAATGTATCTGTTTCCATAAGAACAGCCATTGCAGGCCCAATGATATCATTAATCTTTTGTAACCTACCCTTTAGCTACATTTATAGATTCTGCTCTTGTAAACCAAATGCAAAACAAAAACTGATAACATTTTAGTCTGAGCATTCATCAAATACATGTTGAAAGCAAGTTTGCACTGGTTTTCTGGCTTATACCAACTGGTGCAATCTCTTGCACAGCAGCGAGCTTGCAACTTCAGCAACCTGTTCTAAATCTGTCCTATCAGTTCTTGAAGTTGAGGCCTACATATAAATATCTATCTGACTCTAGTTATATAGATGGATACATGTGTACACACATATATAATCTTTTCAGCCTCAGACATCCAAATCTATTGCATTTTATTCACAGCTTTTGGGTACTTTGCATATGTTCACTACCAGTTCAACAGTTATTAGAAGCTAGACATGTAGAATTAAATATAATTATTTAGAGAATTTACAAAAACCAAGTAGATCAGTGGGTGAGACATTGTATCTGATGAAACACTGTTTTATTGAATTTGCATTTATTAGAATACCATGCAGATTGATGCTTGGGAGGATGAAATTTAGAACCCTTCAGTCAAAAAGGAGAATAGGGAAGAACAAAATGTTCTCTCTGTTTAAAAACATCTATCTTGAGGAAGAGTGAGTTAAAGGTGTCTTGGATTATTCGTGCTTACTCAACCCAAATGCAATGTGCCTTGCTCGGAAGTACAGGAATTTGACTTTTAGTACCATTGATCTTCTTAACCTCTACCATCAAGTAGTATGGAATTAAACACTCTTTTCTTAAAAATGACTGAGTATGGATGTCCTCTTTAACCATGCCTCTTGTCTCTTGATCAGGTAACAGACATTAAAGAAAAACTGAAGCTTTCAAAAAAGTTCTGGTCAGCTTTACCATATACTATCTGCAAGGATGAAAGAGTGACAGCTGGCATGTCAAATGAAGAGGACTGCTGGAATGGCCATACCAAAGCTAGGTGAGGAAGACTCCTCCCCAAATAGTAGCATACTAATTCCACATCTGGCCTTGGAATGGTTAGCTGGTTATGTGTTCTAAGGCTTGTTTATAAAACCACTTACAGCGATGAAATGGAAATAGGGCAGAACAAGTAATTGCCAAGGAAAGCTAGTAGCTGGGAGCACTTACCATCAAGGTGCCATTAAATCTAGAGTGTGAGCACATTGTGTCAGGATTTGAACATGGAGACTATTCATTAGTTAGATTCCAGGTGGATTATTTATTCTGAGATCTCAAAATAGCACTTGTTAGTGTCCCTGTGTAGTGACCGACAAACAGTGAAGCAATTTACACTTGGGATCTTCTCTTAGGATATAGCAGATATTGGAATTTCAGCTCTATTTTACTATTTATTGGCGATCCTTTTGGTTATTGGTTGAGTAAAACTGAAAAATAGCCTGGATATAATAAATGTAACCTTCCTAGTTGCCTCATATGGAAGGCTTGACCTTACACCGCATCATTGTGGAACTGTGGCTTTAGGCATCTGCTGTCATATTTCAGCAATTTTTCAACTTTGAAGTCAGGTTGGGTCACTACTTTGTGGCAGGACTGTTGCTGGAAGATTGCTAAATTCACAGATTGAGTCAGCAAGTGGGAAACAGATGTGTCTAGACATTGTTGAGAAAGTGATGGACAGGTTGGATCAGGGAGCATATTGAGGGAAGGTTACAATTTGGTTTAGCAAAAGCTATGAGTGCTGCTGGGGTGAAGGGAAGAGCTATGGGTTCTGAGTAGGGCTAGGCAAAATATTCTGGCCAAAACTTTCACCTAAAAATACAGATTCAGGTTGACCAAAACATTTCATGAATTTGTGTTGATTTTGGCAAATTGTTTTGGTCAGGAAGAAAAGATTTTTATTTTTTTACCTTTCCAAATTGAAACATTTTGATTTTTTTAAAGCTAAATTCTTAGGGGATTTAGGTGAGGAAGAATGATAAACCCTAGACCCAAACTGTGGTGGTTTTTCACTGGAACTGGAACACACGGATGTCCCCCCACCCGTGAGAGCCCTAACCAGCAGGCTAGAGAGTCACTCATGCTCTGATCCAATGACTATTTAATTAATTATACAAAGTGGAATGGCTTCAACAGGAGAGTTGACAGATGCCCATTTCAAAAGCTGAGTAGTTGGGGCACTCAGCTGGGATGGGGGAACTTTAGTTCAAGTTGTTATTTCAAAGCTATCAGCTGTAAAGGGGTGGCAGCACTATCTGCTCCTCCTCGATTTTGTGAATGGCACTTAAGTCTCCTGGTGAATCTCGTCCTTCATTTCCAAATTACCTTTGCTTTTTATATTTAAAAATGTTTAAAGATGCCTGAAATAGAAACAAAACACTTTGTTTTGGGTTGAACAACGTATTTCATACATGAAAGAAAAAAATTGTGACAAATTTTGGTCAGGTTGACCTGAAGTTATTTTTTCTTTGATTTTTTTAAACTGCTGGCAAACCAAAAATTCAGTCCTTTGCACAGTTCTAGTCCTGAGTGCCCAATGAATGCAGTTCCGTACTGCTGTGATACAATTTCTAGCACACCTTGTAGATTTGTTAACCATTACCTATTTGTGGAAACAAGCTAGTGGATGAAAATTAGACAGCCACAGAAACAGCATCAAACCAGTTCAAATTTGAACTGAACAGGATGTCTTTTGTCTGAAGCTATGTCTACACTATGAAACTTAGGCATAGCTGTACTGCTGCAGCTGTAAGGTATCCTGTGTAGCCACTCTATGCCGGTGGGAGAGAGCTCTCCCATCGCCATAACGAAGCCACCCTCAATGAGCAGCGGTAGCCGTGACAGTGGGAGACACTCTCCTCCCAACATAGCGCTGTCCACACTGGCGCTTTTGCTGGTGAAACTTATGTTGGTCAGGGATATGAAAAGAACCACCCCAACCAACAAAAGTTTTAGCAACCAAAGTCCTAATGTAGACATAGCCTAAGATGCAACTATGAAAAAAATTAATAGGTCATAAGTCAGCATATGTGAGCTTCTCCATTGTGCAAGATACTTTCTAAGAGAAAGATTCCCTCATGGACCCACCTCCCCTCCCAATGTCTTAATCCCCTACTGCTTAATTGTCAAAAGTTTCATTTTGCAGACAAGCCCAAAGGGCTCTGCAAACTGTGGGTTGTCCATGGACCACGATTTGATAAGAACTGGTATAAATCTACTCTCCAAAGCCAGGAGTATTTTTTCTTTATGCTTAGCTGTTAGACCCCATCCCCATTCCCCCTGAAGCCTGTGAGGGAGGTAAATGGCAGCTAGCAGAACAATATCAGGAACGTTTATATATAACTACATGCAGTGGTGCTGTAGCCATGTCATGTATTACTAGGTTCATCTTAAAAGGACCGTGTGAGAGTAAAATTTGAAATCACCTTCCTCCACAATCGCTATTATTGTAGCAGTTCTTCATAAGTTACAACCCCATGCAGGTGTGCTCTGCTGTCAAAAGGAAGCTAGCTAGTGTGTGTTGCTCCATGAAGCACACATTAATAAAGACTGCATGCTGCTCCTATTGAAAAGAGCCCTAAAGCATGCCTGCTAAAATCATTCTTGGTTTCCTTGAGCAATTCTAGTCTTTTGTCCTACATGCCTTGTGGCGAAGCAAAGACTCACAGGTGCAGCACCTCCTGCTGGTCATGTCAGGAATTAGCTCTCCAGCATATGGCACACCTCCTCCTGGCCAGTGTCTCACCTGACACTGGCCCCATGTCCCTCCCAGACCCCAGTGCCCCTTTACCTTGGGGTGCTGACCCCTGGCAGTGCCCCCACACTCTGGGTCTCCTCTCCCAGGGGAACCCCCAACCCTCTATCCCCACCTTGCCTCAGTGGCTACTGCCAGTCATCATCTATCCCCCATTCACTGGGGCAGACTGCAGTCTGTAAACCACTCATCACTGGCAAGACAGGGGTTGGACCTGCAGCCTATTATCTCTCTTTAGGTCTTGAACAAGGCCTGCAGCCTGGTAAGTTGCCAGGCTGCAGCTCCCCTTGCCACTCCCCAGCACTTCTCTACCTCCGGTACCCTGCTCCCAGGCAGCTAGGTCCTTCTCTCCCCACCCCTAGAGAGAGACTGACATAGCTCCTGCCTCACAGCCCTTTTATAGGGCCAGCTGTGGCCTGATTGGGGCATGGCCCCAGCTGTGGCTGCTTCCCCAATCAGCCTGACCTTTTCTCTCAAGAGTGGGGTAACTGTCCCGCTACATGCCTGGCCAGTACCACTCAGCTCCCTTTTTCCCCAGGCACCTCTACAGATAAGGGCTTGATATTGTCCTAAATTTTCAGGATTTGGTCCATCCAAAATGGGTAGGTTTTCTTTTGAGTTTACAAAGGAGCAATTCTCTTGCAGCCTTCCTTTTGCAATATGTACATCATGGGAAGGCTTGCACTTGGAACAAAAGAGAAACTATTACTCCAAGTGTCAGTGAAATGCAATTAACAGGATATGTGAAATTTGACAATGCCCTAGAGAGCAAGGTCATTCCTCTTTATTGTAGCATAAAATGTACCCTTACTCATGATGACTAGTATCTACAATAAAGTACGAGTCAGCATGAATAAGGGCAGCAGAAGCTGGCCTGTTAGTAAATAAAGGATTGGATTTCTTTGTATTCATATGCTTGCCTATTCTCTGCCTTGGCTCCCATGCTAGTGTTAGGCCTCCCTTTTCCCTTGTGGTAGGTATAGGCATGGATTTTGAATTCCAGAGTGAATCACAGAAGTTAAAGATGGAAAAAAACAGTTGGGTCATGTAGCCTATTCCCTAGTGTAATAGTCTGCTAGTCAGTTAGACTCTCTTCACTTAGACTCTCTAGTCACTTAGACTCTCTTCTCAGGGCATGGGCAGAGGAAGCTCCCTAGAAGCACGGGGGGCACCAGCGCCCAGACCGTGGCCCGTCCCATGATCCACCCTGAGACCCACCTCTGCTTGGCCTCCTCCCACCTATGTTCCACCTCCACTCTTCCCCAGGCCCTGCTCCTGCTCGTCCCCCTCCCCTAAGATCCCCCGCCCGCTGCTTGTGCCATTACACTCCCGCCCCTGAGGGGCCCCCCCACCTGCTGTTTGCACCTCTTCACCCCCTCCCTAGAGGCCCCCCCACACACACTCGCCGATGCATGAAAGGCTGATGATGCATGAAAGGGGTGTCACTGACACTTCTGAATAGATCTTAAGGATTCCCTATTCTCGATAAAGTATCTGCAACAATATTTCCTTTCCCCTTGATATGAATTATGTCAACGTCGTATGCTTGAAGGGCTAGACTTCGAAGAAGTAATCTAGAGTTCCTTGAGCTCAGTGTAGCCATGCGAGTGGGGCAGGGTCACTTACTAAAGTGAACTTTTTGTTATATGAATAGGGTTTAAGCTGCTTAACTGCCCAGACAGTTGCATAGCATTTTCCTTGATTGTAGCATAGTTTTGCTCAGTGGATGTCAGTTTTTTGCTTAAGTACGCAATGCGGTGGCTGCCCTGATTTCTGATTTCTAAGGGTTTGTCTACACTGGCACTTTGTCGGCAAAACTTGTATCATTCAGGGGTGTTAAAAAAAACACACCCGGAATGACAAAAGTTTGCCCGATGAAAAAGCGACACTGTGAACAGTGCTTTGTCAGCAGGAGCACTCTCCTGCCAACAAAGTCACTGCCACTTGTGAGGGGTGGAAGTTTTTGTCCGCAGGAGAGCACAGCCATGTCGCTAAAAGCCTTGTAGTGTAGCCTAACAGTCTGACCTGAGTTTGGCACTCTTAGTTGTGAGCCACTCCAGGTACTGCGATACCTAGGCAATGAACAGGGAAATATAACAAAAGACAAAATATTTTTTAAAAAACAGTGTCTTAGGTGCTGCTGGTCAAAGAAAACAGAGTTGTAGAATTGCAAAATAGATATTGGCTCTTGTGTTTCATTCAACACATCCACCTTCTAACATTGCATATACCAGAAAATGTATGTT